CATATTGCATTTGACATAAATTATAGAGAGAGATGGATAGGGAAATGCTGTATTGTTTTGGTTTGATGTTTGGAATTCTGGGAGTGATTAATAGTAATGGAGTGAATGCAATTGGTGGAAGGAAAGGTGATCCTGTCAAGTTTGATGAGAACTATGAAATTAGATGGGGACAACGCAATGTTTTGTCGCTAAATCAAGACAGACAAATTCAGCTTTCCATGGATAATTCTTCTGGTTATTCTTTTAGTCTTCTTCTTCTTCTTCCTTCTGATTCTCCTTCTGATATTCATATACGCATATGGGTAAAAATGGAGTTTGCTCTTTTTTCAGTATGGTTTTTCTACTGTGGCAAGATCTTTTAGCTTCTTAATTTGGGTGTTTAAGGCATTTATATACACTTGTTTTTTTTAGGGTCTATTCCAGATTCTGCTGTGCTCTTCTGAATTGGGTTTTTAGTTGTTTTTTTTTTTTCTATAATGTGGCGATTTTGTTTTTGGTGTTTAATTTGGTAGGTTGCCTTTTAATTGGAACTAAACCTACAATTGTAGTCTTTTGGCGGTTACTAATGATATATTACTTGATTAAAATGCCACTTCTAGCAAATTATATATATATATATATATATAGATATCGATATATGTCATTTCAAAAGCATGCATGGTACATGCGTAACTCATCAGATAAAAGAAAAACCCATGAAGTCATTTCATATATGTATATCTGTTATGTGTTTACTGTACAATATAGTATATTAATATGTGCGGGTGTATATACATATGCGTGTGAGCTAGGGCAGGGTCTGGATTTGGTTCGAAGGTAAGCTACGGCTCAGGATTTTTTCATTTGAGGATAAAGGTACCAGGCAGGGATTCTGCAGGCGTGGTAACTGCTTTCTATGTTAGTACTGCATGCTTCTACTAATTATATTTATATATATATATATATATATATGATTAAGAAATATTTAAGTCAATTACTGAATTAAAAATAAATATTAATTAGGTTTCTTCGAGAAGCGATCATCATGATGAGCTAGACCTGGAGTTCCTAGGCAACAGTGAAGGGAAGCCATACAGTTTACAGACGAATGTGTATGTTAATGGTGTTGGAAACAGAGAGCAAAGGATTGTTCTCTGGTTTGATCCCTCTGCTGCCTTCCATACTTACAGAATCCTCTGGAATCAACACCAAGTTGTGTATGTATACATATATATTTTTAAAGAATAGACAAATATATATTTCATGTAAGTGTAATATATTTACAGGTTTTACGTGGACAACACCCCGATCAGAGTTTTCAAGAACAACGAAAATATCGGGGTGGGTTATCCTGGGCAACCGAAGCTGGTAGAAGCAAGCATTTGGAACGGAGAAGATTGGGCAACAGACGGAGGGAAAACGAAGATAAACTGGAGCTACGCACCCTTCCAAGCTAATTTCAGAGCATTTGACGTCAGCGGTTGCCCCTACGACGCAAAGACGTCGTCGTGTTATTCTTCTGGTTACTGGTGGAACAGAGAGCAGTACTGGAAATTAGATGCTAATCAACAGAAAGCATATGAAGATGTCAGGAAAAATTATACCACCTACGATTACTGTTCTGATACCAATAGATTCCCTGTTCAACCTAAAGAATGTCCCTTCAATGCCTAACCCCATACATATATACATTATAAACTAATAATTGAAATATACATCTATATCTGAACATATATTTGTAAGTAAATTTCTTTCTTCTTCTTCTCTCTTCCCACTTTATTCGAATATTTTCAATAAAAGAGAGAGTAGAGAATATATATATATATAGATATATAGATATATGTCTGTGATGAAATTAATTACCATTATACTGCATCTTATTTTTATTTTTATTTTTATAATGCACAATTAGAATAACTTGTTTTATATATTATTATTATTGGCTTGATTCTAATGATATTAAAATAAAATATTAATAATTTCTTTTCAATTTTTTTAAAAGAATAAAATGGTCATTAGGCAAATAACGCATACTAATAGAGTTGATTAATACGATAATAATTAGATTACAACATTTTAGATGAGATTTAATATTCTGCTAATAAATAATTTTAGCAAAATTATTAATTCATTTTAAACATAGCTTCTAGAAAACTATTTGTTTGGTGACCGATTTGATGCGTAAAATTATTTCAATATTCAACTTAATGAAAATAATAATTTATATTAAAAAAAATATAAAAATTAGAACAAAAAAAGGAAAAGAATAAAAAAAAAAAAAAAATTAGAACAAAATTTGTCACTACCAGCAGCGACTGGCCCATTGCAATTACCTTTCCTGATCGTACTGCTAGGCACGCGAGCGATAGACGGCCGCGGACGGAGTGGCAAACGGCGGCGCTTTCCACCGATAAACTACTGTGCACGCAAGGGACATACACTGACGAGCCACGGAGATTACACCAGTCGAGTCATCGACGGCCGGCTTTACGAGTGACTTAAAGTCGCGGTTGCTGGTTCAATCGTAAAGCGCGACGGCCACTTCATAGGGACCAGATCTAGTCTTCACGGCAAGGATGGTTCCCGGTGACTTCGTTGGTTGTTTTGCTTTCGTCACTGGTGGCGTTCCCAGCCGCGGTTGGTGGTGATTAGGGATTTGAAAATTTTGAAATAATGAGCATGATTTTTTTTTCCCCCAAAGAAAAAATTAAGTTAATCTCATTGAAATAATTCCTGGCCTTTGCTGAATCGAATTTGTGCTTAATTCCAGAGCAGAGAAGCTGATAGAAGTCTACTCAAAAGCAGCCAACAAACCTCCTCCTATGCTCAACCAGTGGCAAGCGGAGTCCACCTTTTCTCATGGCGGATCCATTTTGTCCAACTCGATGATTTCCAGAAGACACCAGCTTTGCCAAAGCCATTGATGGACTCTCTTCCTTTACTGTCGATTTTAATTTTGGTTCTACTTTCTTTTGAACTCTTTCTTCCTCCAACCGCTTTTGGGTCGAGAAGTGCTGAAGAAGAAGACTTTACGGAGGAATTGCTATTGAAACCGTTGCCTGATAGAAAGGTATTAGCTCATTTCCATTTCGAAAGCCGAGCTCCTCCATCCAATTCCCATGGCAGCCACCACCATCTCTTCCCCAAAGCCATTTCTCAACTGGTAAGTTCTGTTTCTTTCCCTAAACAAAAATGACAGCATATTTTCTGGGTATTGTTAAAATGTTTTATGGTTTTCTTTAGGGAAGTTGAGTTGATTCTACTATTGTATCCATTAGTCGTGGCTTTAGGCCTTGGATTAGTAATAGCAATACAGTTACCATTTCAGACACTTCTGTGTTAGTTACCAACTGTTGAGTTTTTCTTCATTGAGTCCCCCTAATCATGTGATCAACTAGGCTTCGGCATACCGAGCCAATCATTTTTCATATTCACATGCCAGTAGGAAAGGTTTTTGAGCATGTTCGCATCTACATGCACGTCATTGCTTTTTCTTGTGGTTCTGTTCTTTTCACTTGTCTTACAGGCAATTTTTAATTCCTTTCATGTATAATTTCTGGCAAGTTTCATGCTTGACATTCCTTTAACTTCATGAATCTTGGTTGCATAGGTCCGTAAATTTAGAATCAAGGAAATGGAAATATCTTTCACACAAGGTCGTTGGAACTATGAATTGTGGGGTGGATTTGATCCCTTATCGACCAGGAATGCAAAACCCCCTGGAGTCGAGTTGTGGGCTGTCTTTGATGTCCCTCAGTCACAGGTTGATGCTTCCTGGAAGAATTTAACTCACACTCTTTCAGGTCTTTTCTGTGCTTCAATCAATTTCCTAGAGTCCTCTACCACATATTCTGCCCCTCAATGGAGTTTTCGACCATCTTCAGGCAACCTGAGGTATGGTACTTTGCCCCGTGAAGCTGTTTGCACTGAGAACTTAACTCCATGGTTGAAGTTACTTCCTTGTCGAGACAAGGCAGGACTTTCTACATTAATGGACAGACCATCCATCTACAGAGGGTTTTATCATTCTCAACGGTTGCATCTAGCCACATTTGAATCTGGTTTAGAGGGATTAGATTCAGGCATTATCCTGGAACAGACACTTACAGTTGTTCTTCAGCCCAATCATCAGAAAAGTAGTAAGATTTATTCTCATGAAAAACTTATGCAACCAAGTTGGTATTTGAGTTCAATTTTAGGGAGAAAAGTCAATGAAAGATGCGTTCTTGCAACGTCAAGCAATGTATATCTTCAACTTGAGAGCAGTCTGGCAGCAGAATTGAAGAATGTACAGAAGGAAAATGGAATATCTGGCTCTCATGGCGTAGAATCTGAAGGTTTTTGGAATAACCCCAGCTTTGAATTGTCTGTTAAGCCACACAGAGTGTTTAAAGAAGTCAGAAACATGCATAGCAAGGACTCATATGTTCTATATGAGTTTAAAGTTGACAAGGATTTTGATGTTGAGCCATTTGATTTGGGTTTTACATGGAAGAGACCTGTACTTTGGTCATGCCAACAAGCACCATTACATGCCACTAGGTTTTTGATGGGAAGTGGGAACGAACGGGGTGCTATTGCTATCTCCTTGATATCTACAGAATTAAACGAGGGGTTACTGGGTAGTAATATTGTTGATGACCAGTGTAGGTTTCAAGTTAATATTTTTCAGGTTGTCCCCTGGTATATTAAAGTGTATTATCACACTCTACTGGTCTTTGTTGATCAACAGCCTATGGCCCCAGCAGATGTTCTGGAAAAGATACATGTTTCACCATCAAAGGACAAGGTATCACCTGGAGTTATGGAGATAATTCTGAGATTACCATGTAGTATGAAGTCATCAGCTTTAACTTTAGAGTTTGATAAGGTATGCCTTGTACATTACTGTTTTTATTTTGATTGAAACACTCATAATTTTAGACCTATCTCAATCTCCCATCATGGTTTAAAACATGAGCAAATGTTGTATCGCTAAAACCTACAACAGCAGTGCCAAAGAAAATATTTAAATGGGAATGAACAAAAATATGAAGTTGGTCAGTTAGCTTTAAGAGGTCCAATCCTTTATTGCTGGGAGCTGACTAAATAAAGGACTTACTGTTTCCGATGTTAGCCATATGCTTTGGTTTCATAATGATTTTAGGAGGTGAAGTAGAACTATTATAAGTGTCCTTTTTCAGATAGGAACCGCTTTACCATGTGTTGTGCTTTTGGCAACAACAGGACTAAATTTTAGCTGCATCCTTTTTTCTCCTTGTAGACTGTTGACTTTCTAACATACCACTTGAAACTTGCCCTGGTAGGGTTTCCTGCACGTAGATGAATACCCTCCAGATGCTAATCAAGGATTTGACATTCCATCAGCTGTAATAAGCTTTCCCAACTATCATGCAAGCTTGGTCTTCCTCGAAGAAGGCTCTTCGAGCGATTCACCCCTGTTGTCAAAATTTATGGTACACATCCTTTGTATATATGGAGTTTAAATGTTCTCCTACTTCAAAATTTCTTGTCTCTGTTCATTTGACTATCTGCTTGATTTTCTCAATATGTGATGCAGGAAAAAAGTCCTGTTGTGTCTTATACTGAAGTATTACTTGTACCCTTGGCGACTCCTGACTTTAGCATGCCTTACAATGTCATTACAATCACATGCACGATATTTGCATTATATTTTGGATCGCTGCTCAATGTACTTAGAAGGCGTGTTGGTGAGGAGGAAAGATTTCTTAAAAGCAAAGGTATCCTATCTGTCACTAGATAGTTACTGTTCACTCATTATAAGCACTTATTATTGCCATTACTAGTATTTTCTCAGACTAACCGCATTTTCTTAACGCCATAGACAGAGCTATGCCATTATTAGTGATTTAAGTCTACATATATGTCCATTTTACATCTATGGAAATAACCATTGGTGTTAAGAAAAGAAAGAAAGGTCTTTGGTGGTAATGATCAATGGTAGAAAAGTCCAGTTTATTAGGTTAATTACCATAATTTGTGTACATGCCCGCCAATGGTACTCTGGCCATGTGAACGGATTAACTTATGTCTGGGTGTTGAAAGAGAAATATTGCCTTTAATGTGTTAACAAATTTCTTAGTGACATAGTTTTAGTTTGTTTCCTACCTCCAAATGCAGAAAATAATATATAATGAAATGAAATGGGCAAATTAATAAATGCAGTGCTGGAAACTGAATACTTCAATTGTGCTATTTGTTCTAAATGCTGCTAACATAAAGATTAGGTATTGACCAGTGTAAATGACCTAATACGATTAGTGGTTTATGCTCTGATAAAAAGTTTCTCTCAGGTAACTTAAGGAAATTATTTGGTAAGCAAATAGCTACTGCTTGATTCCCGTGGTTACCATACTGATTTACATTAGACACAGCTGAACTGTTTTCCTCGGCTTCAGTGTTTGCTTTTGATTGTTGTGTTTGCAGCTGCTGATAAAGCAGGCCGTATTACTCTTTTGTCAAAAATATCCGCCAAACTTAAGGGAAGATCATATGGACTGAAGCAACAGCCTGAACACACAGCTTCATCGTCCTTCATTAATTCTAAATTATTATTTAAAGTTATATTAGTGGCCGGAATTGCGGTAGGTTGGCAATACTTTTCAGGTTAATTCATTAGTTCAAATGGAAGTTTTCTGTACTATATGTCCTAAAAGAAAGGGATACAGAACTTCTCAATTGTCATTTGGTAAGATTGTTTTATCTTCCACTTTACACGGGAGAAATTTCGAATAACATTTTTCTTTCATTGTAAACAATTTTGGTAAGAATCCTAATCACCCACTTTTTACTTTCTAAATGGATGTTACTCATTTGAGTATCTCTGTTTTGACTATAAATAGTTTATATAGATTTTTCTGTTCTTTTGGCTCCATAAGTCACTGATACAGATGAGAAAACTAAGGTTTGATAAAAGGAAACTAGGAGGATTTTGAACTGCTAAACTGGCTGCAACCAGGGATGTAGGCATCAAGACTACAATTCTGTTGAATATACACAATCCGTCAACAGTTCCAAATTGCAACTCTTTTCTTAGTGTTTGTCGTAAACAGAGCTACAATCACAGAATTGGGGGAAAATACAGGATTTGTGAATTGAGTGTCAACAGATCAAGAGAATATACAGTTTTTGCTTTCCTGTGGGATAACAAAAGGGATGGTCCTCATCATCTGATCCTTTTGAAGGAAGCAGATGAAATCATTTCATCTTCTCTCATCCGCTTCATATTGGTGTTCACAAAACTACATTTTAATGGGGCACTTGAAATGGTGCTTGCCTGGTTCTTACCATAACCTGAAAGTCATATTAATCTGATAATTTAATCAGTAGAATCGGTTGTATAAGGAATAAAAATTTAAGATCACATTCTGCTCGCATCTGGTTAGTAAGAAAAGAAATAAGGATGAAAAATGAGCATGAGAAATTTGGTGGTTAGCAATCTTGAATATAATAGAAGATCAACCATGGACATGATGTACCTGAGCTACTTTCATTTATCTTTAATTTCTTGAGTAAGCTGCCTTCTTCCAACAACTGCTTTCTCTTGAAGCCAACGCCATTCAATTTGCATAATGGACTACTTCCTTCATCACATCCTGTGAAAACCACATGTCTTGTATGGCTATGACGGCTCTACTTCTCTTTATTTTTCATTTAATTCTTAGTTCATTCATAGTTCTAATTTTTTATGTTAATCTTAATATGCATTTATAATATGATTTGTGCTTGCATAATGATATACCTCAAATGCAAACTGATGTTATAATCATACTTATAAAAAATTAATAAAAAAATCAAAAGTAAATAGCGCAAATTCATACCTAAGCTGCTACCTCTCAACTTCTTAATCTTAAGCAACTCAACATCTTCAGACTGTAGCCTTCTACTCCTGCTATTGTCTTCTGGTTCACTTTTATGGTGAATTGTGTTGAGAGCACTTTGAGAATCATGAGCCCCTGGAAAATCACAATCTTCCCTTGACTACTCAACAGCAAGATTTTCTAGCCAAAATCTTCAAAATTTTGTGTAATTCGTGTGTTCTATTTTCTTTTATATAATCAGATCATTATACAAGTGTTTCCAAATTTCTTCTCCTTTTCCATCACGTTCTTAACAATTTTTTTTTTTAAAAAGAAACAAAGAAAGAAAAAAACGAAGGAAAGAGAGGGAAACAATAGCCAGATACCAAAGAACTTACTCTTGCTGCCGACTTTAGAAAGCTTGCCATCGACAATGAGAGCACTCCGCTCATCTTTCCCATTAGGCAAGCCCTTAGCTGAGAAGAAAGAGAGCAGTGACCTCCAAGTCACAGAGTGCGACACAAGATCGACCCCTCTGCTTATATAGTGTCCATTGAGCTTCAAAGTAGCAGGATCGAGCCCAAAAGCTCTGGCTATGGATCCCAGGTCAAGCCTCTCCTCCTCCCACGTCGGCCACTGCACCAACTTCGACACCAATGGACAAAACAGCTTGATGGCTCGGGCTCCACTGTTCCTTGCCATCTCTGTACTTCTGCTTTTCACTTTCTCTTATATCTATCTTCTTATGACAGTCTCTTATATTCCTCCTCCTCTCTCTATCCCTCATAAGCCACTGCTCTTCAGAGGTTGATTTTCTGTTCTGTCACCAGCGAGGCTCTGACGGTTTCTGGAAGTCTCTGAAACTCATTGTTCTGGTTTCGTTTTCTCGACATCTAATTTTGTGGCCCCTAAATGGGCTAATTTAATCATGCCACAATAGTGGGCCGACCCGACCCCTTTATTGGAAACGGTTTTCGGATCCGGGTTAGTTTATTTTTTAAATTTATTTGGTTGTTAGAAAAATGACAAGAATTTCGATTGATATATAATAGCGTGTTTGACACGCGCGGGGGACCGAAGTTTCTTTGCTTGCGACGTTAGCAAAATGTATAAATGTGTGAAGGATCAAAATGTTGCCAAGAAACGAAGAGAAAGAGAGGTGAAGCTGCCATGCTGTTAGGAATCTGTGAAGGATTTCTAATGGCGAACCGGTCTCTAAATATGCGTCTGTTGCAAGGTTTCTGTACAGACCCGATTCCCGTAGAAACTTCCACGCTTTTCAAGCCTTGTTGCTTGTCTAAGCGGCTAATAAACTTTCTTCATCAGTGCAACTTTCCTCGTCGATGAGTGTCAAGAGGGTCATCTCTTTTTGGTCTGCAACATGTAAACTGTGTTATTAATCATCTCTATTTTCTCAACATGTAAACTAGTTAGGAAAGATAATAAACTGCTGATCCTGTTTTTGTTCACAGAAATGGTAGTCTTGGAGGTAGACAAGAAATTGCTTCAGCAGCTTGAAGAGTTGGGATTCCCAAGAGCCCGAGCAGCCCGGGCACTTCATTATTCTGGTGAGCCTTCGTTTGCCAGATCTCTAAATCCAATTCTTGTGTTAGAGGGGTATATTTTTTATTTAGCGTTTAATTCATTTTTATTACAAAATTGTGATTTGTTATTTTAGTGATAATTTGAGAGTGGAGTGAGGGATTTATTGGTTAATTAACTAAAATGGCTAAACTAAATTCGAGAGACTGCTAGCATTTTGGAAAAAAAAAAATAAGATAGCAAGTATTTGATGAGATATGTTTGTTCCTTGCATTCCTCAGAAATTGAGCCTGGAAGTGTTTAAGCTGCTTCATGACAATGTTTTCAGGAACTGGGTTACCTGCAATTTTTGTGCAATTGGCATATTTATAATGTGTTATCTCTTTTCTTCTGTTTTCCAGGTAATACTGGCATTGAAGCTGCTCTAGATTGGGTCATTGACCATGAGAATGATTCAGATATTGACCAGATGCCCTTGGTATGCTTTCTTTTCCTAAGCAAATTTGCAGTTCATGAGGATGCTAATATACAAAATCTGAGATTCACCTCTCCATTCTATGACTAAGGATATATGATAAAGTATTTTATGCATTTTTGTAGAAAAAGAAATAGAACAGCACAAATAACTTTCATATGTGACATTGATGAAAAGTTTGCAACTGGAAACCGCAATTGCTTTCTAGAGTAAAATAAAGGACACAATAATCTTTTGAGTTGTTTTCATATAAGCAAGCATGATATTGAAAAGGAAACATGTCCTTCAAGAACAAACTATTTTTAGTAAAGTTAAATACAAGAATGGATGCACGATTGAGCCCAAATTTCGACAATATTTCAAGTTAGCACAAAGTAAATGTAATACGTTATGGGTTGATATATTTTAGATTTAATACACGTGGTTTATTTTTAACAGTTTAAATACTTCTGATTTATTTATTTGTCAAATAATACAATACTGTTCGTTTGAGCATATAGATAATCATAATCTTAAAAAAGATAAACATGATCAGTTAGGTTATGTTTTCAAAATTAGAAACAAAAAACTTAAATTATTAGGTTTAATATACATAAACTTCCCCATAACTTCTCCGGTACGTTATTTTTTCTTTAATTTTAATTTTTACTATGTAGCTTTATTTTTGTTTTAAAATTTTAAATCCTTCTAAGTGCTAGTTTTCTTGAATGTAGAAAGTCTAATTTGAGTCATCTACGTATTTAACATTTTAAAATTCAGATTATTGATGTATTGAAACTAATAGTATCATATTGTCTTACTAATATTCAAATTATGAATGCTGAAACAGTTAAAATAAATCTCTGTTAAATTGGAAAATTCAAAAATTACAAATTATTAAACTGTTGTTTACCTTCCAACTTATTAGCCATCCATGACACTAATACTTGAAAAGACCCTAGCTTGAAAGCAGACTGGAATATGATAATATATTAGCAGATTTGAACACTGGTACAGGGTCAGTTTTTCTTTTACAAAATGCTCTACATGGAATGTTCTGTGTCATGAAAAATTTGTATAAGAAATTTGTAAATTACAGTATAGTTTTACCTTAAAAGTTTGTTTTCTAAATCTTTTTTGAAAAGTGGAAAAAGCTTTTCTGGTCTGCTTCTGAGCATGTAATGGCTAGAATGCATTTCTTTGAAGGCTCTGCATCCTTCATATTATTTAATCTGTTTTTCTGGGAGTTTTCTTTCAAGATTTGAACACTGTGCTGTAGTTTGGTTTCTTTTGTGATTGTTATATATTTATTTCCTTAGGAAGGCAAAAGGAATGGCTTTGTTAGTCATGTTTGCACCTAGTAAGAAAATACCCACATAACTTACACAAATTAACATAGAAATGACGGAGAGAAAGAACATAGAGAAATTTTTAATGTGGTTTGGCTGTGTTATGTAAAGGAAAATATCTATTTGCTAGATCAGTTTTTCAGTTTTTTTATAAGAGGGAAAAATTACGCATTTAAATGTGGTTTGGCTGTGTTTCTTTAAATGCGTAATTTTTCCCTGTTATAAAAAAACTGATCTAGCAAATAGTTATTTTCCATTATATGGTAAAAAGAGAAAACTTAAACATAATATGGATACTCCTGATAATAAAAAGGCCCAAAAATAACATACTACAGGAGATTTTGCTCCTTGTACCACCAGCAAATTCACAATGCCTACACCAAGTTGACAATCTCTCTTTTACAAGGACCCTTTTATGAAAATAACCTCTTTAAATATGATTTGCAACTCAACGTATCTAGCACAAAACCCACATAAACATTGATCTTTAATCATGTATGTCCATCAAGAGAATTAATTTTCTGTTCCTTTATAAGCAGGTAGCAGTTAACATTAGCATCGAGTCTCCTCAACCATCAGATATCACAGAAGTAATGAAGAATAAAGCAAAAGAACTCAGGTCTGTTTCTGGTAGTCCCTTAGTTATGAAAAACATTTTAACTTCTTCACACCAAATTACGTGGAACTTGTTATATGCTCTGGTCTTGTCTGACTATTTATGGTTATTTGTTTTTTTGTATCCCTTCTGATTTTAGTCCATCCATAATTTGAATCTGTTTTTCTAAATCCAACTCGTGAAAGAAAATTCAGCTTCCTTCCAAATTAATTGGAATTTCATGTCATGTTTGTTTCCCATTAGCTATCACTGTTGATTTAAATCCTTTAACTTGACATTGTTTTGGATGATGTAATCTATTTCAAGATTTGAGCATTTTGTTCAGGCTTCTATTAGTTCTTATGTTTTTCACTTTTCATTCTCATTGATACTCGTCAAACTTAGGGATGAAGTTCACGAGAAGGAAGAGAAGGAATATGAAAGAATTAAGGAAAAGGTCTGAAGAATTTCTTGGCATGTTCCCTCTTCCCTTTTGTTGTTTTCAAATGATAATAGATAGGACTATCGTATGATAATTAATATTAAATTATACTCTTTGTTTGTATTTATCTCTACTATACCACAAATTTTACACTTGCAAAAGTTCTTTCACATATTTTGAGCAGTGTTAATATTTAATTTTTCCACTTAATAACAAGCATGGTACTCACTTTATTAACTTTTTAGATCAGCTGTTTGTGTGCTTATGTTTGAGGGAGAAAGAGAGGCCACTTTCACATGTGGACCCCTTAACAATATTTACATATTTGTAAGAAGGTAGTGCTATATGATATATTCCAATTGTATTTACTCCTCATATGCTATTAGAAACAATGAAAGAAATCCAAAACATAAGTCACGGAGGTGAAGTTAGTTTTCCTTTCAATTCCTTGTACAAAAGAACATATATATATTTTTTGAAAATATTCCGTGTACAAAAGAAATAATTTTACTTCTTCCGAGTTGAGCTAATTCAAATGACTTTGCAACACCATATTTTAGTTTCATGCAATCGATTATGCTATCCATGTCTGTAGTTCAATAACTGAAAATTCTAATTAAATTTTGTGTTTCTGAATTTTTATTAATGATACTTAATTTACCCTGGCTGAATATATATGAGAGAATATTAGATAGAGCTTTAGTTGGAAAGTAAATACAAATCAGTCCTATAAAAAAGAAAACAACTTTCAATTATGGAAGACGATTATGATTATGCTTTATTGGGAGATTTCTCTAAAGATACCAATCTATGCTGTGGTTCAGTCTTTCTGGCTAATGTTCTGCAACTTATGCTTGTTTTATATCCTAGTTTTAATCTTTGCATTGACCTGGTATGCGCTAGAATTTAGTTTGTCTAACCTAGGTGCTAAAGTTTCTTGCAGAAGAGAATTCAAGCAAGTAAGGAGCTTCTTGAAGCAAAACAAATTGCAGAGGAAAATGAAAGAAAATGGTTTGTCTTTTTCTTAAATTGTTTTCTTTTCTTGGAAACTTTATGGTTGCTGTACCTTTTACCCTCAGACTACATTTCTTTTTACTTTGTCTGGTATCTGGATACACGCTGTATTTCAGTAATTTAGTCTTGCGGAAAGCAGAGAAAGAAGAAGAAAAAAGAGCAAGGGAAAAAATTCTTCAGAAAGTAGAGCTGATAAGGTGGTTATTGAGTTCTATCACTTTCTGATTTTACTTTCCACAGCTGCCACATTTTGATGTCGCAAACTATGTTATGCATACTTCTCTCTTTAGTGTTCTACTAGCCTTCTGCCTCTCGTTGCTTCCATTTCTGTCTAGGTTAGGTTTTTTGACAAATACCAGATAAATGCTGTATATGATTATTATTAATGGTGGCACCTAGCTAGGAAAAAGAGACTTTGTATAGAAAAGCAAGTGAAGACAAAACAAGAAATATGTATGTGAAATACATGGTACTTAGCTGTGGAGAGGAACTCCTGCATTTAGGTTTACCAACTGTCTAAGTGGATGATGAAACTAAAATAAGATACTGATCAGTTTCTGGAGCTTATGGTATCATCCATTTAATATAGCAAACTGAATCTTTGGCAATACTAGATTAATGATGATTTTCCACTTCCTTGGACCAGTAAACATGAAAAGAGCAGCTATCCAAAATACAAAAAGACCCTAAGAACGTAACAAAATTCTATCAATGCAATGTGGTCCATCTTTTATATGTCTTAAAAAAAATTTACAGATTCCAATAATTGTTTGATTTGTTTGCAGCTAGAAAGGAGGCGGTGGCTTGGTTTGCCATTGGAAGGTCCTGCTCTGAGGCCCTCTCAACCTGTGATGCTGGAAAGTGGAGTATGGATATCAGTTTACTAGCTTCTTCAAATCTAAAAAAGAATTTGAATATTTTGTTAAATGTTAGTCATGATAATGATGTTATAAATCCTGTTTAAGTTGCAGAATTCATTACATGTAAAATCTGTCACAAAAGCAGAAAAAATGAGAGAATGTTTAAGGTCTATCAGGCGCAATCACAGGGTAAGTGATTTCTTTCTTTCATCATATTCTACTGATACTTTACCATTCAGAATAGGTAGGAACTAAATTGGACAACAACCAGGACCTAGAGACTGGGCCTATACACGGACTGTGTTTCTAATCTGTTTTCTTGTTACCCTTCTCTTATCCATCACATGTTCAGAGGGAACTTTTAGGGACCCTGAGAATTTCTAACACTCTTCACACGGGTAGAGTGCATTCTAAGATCCAACATTCATCCTGAGCTCTAAGAGGAAACTCTTTCACTCATTTTCTTTGCAAGCTAAAGCTTCGTTTGCTGTAGTTTTTATTAAGAGCTACATTTTTAATAAAATAAAGAGCTAATATCAAAAATGTTTTTGCATTTTTGCAATTTCCTCGAGTTGCATCTTAAACTATTATATCTATATGCACCTTAAACTATTACCTTTTTATATTTTTAATTATATCAATGTGCACCTTAAACTATTAGTATTAAATTATCTATTTTGTTATTAATTTCTGTCAAAATTAATAAAATTTTATTTTTTTATGAACTAGACAAAAAATATTATTAAAATTTATAACATTTCTTATTTCTTATTCTCTTCATATTTTTTTCTTTCTACCTTTCTATTTAATAATATTGTGTTTGTATTCAATTGATAGTTTCATTTAGTTTTTGAAAAGATAGAATTTGTTAATTTTAATAAATATTAAAAAAATTGATGATTTAATATATTTTAATAATTCAAGATGCACATTGATACAATTGATAATGTAAAATACAATTTGATACAAATACAAAATATAATGTTTTTTTTAATATTATCCTTAAAATAAATTCAAAGAAAAAATATAGAAGTTTATTTGAATTTACATTTTCATGTTACAGTGCAAATTCAGCAATTTTTTTTTATAGATTCATTTGTTCAAATATAGCTTAAATGTTATCTCAACATTCTCATTCTCCTTTCAAATCTTTGTTGCTTCTTGCTGTGTAGGATGATGATGCCAGGGTTCAAACAGCTTTTCAGACTCTTTTGGTTTGTATTGGAAATGTTGCAAAAAATCCTGATATGGAGAAGTTCAGGAAGATTAGACTTAATAACCCGTTATTCCATGTAAGTTGCTTCTGTGATTGATCATGTCTAGATGATTGAAATGTATGGAGAGCATTTATATGCTCCATGATATGTCGAAGGGCTATTGATAGGAACCTAGTAGATTGGCTATTGTCTCTCTATTCAAAATCTACGTGTGGTGTTCTGTCATCAAAGATGTATATTTTCTGAACTTACATATCTTTTATTAGGCTAGGGTAGGGAGTTTAAAAGGAGGAACTAAGTTTCTTGAGCTTTGTGGATTCGAGAGAAGTGAAGGGAGTGAGTTCTTGTTTCTTCCTCGAGACAAAGTTGACATCGAAGCATTACGAGCAGCTGCTTTTGAATTGAAGTCTGCAATGACAAATCCCTTCTTTGGTCTTTTTTAGGGTTAAGAGAAGGTTAATGCCATACCAAGCTTGGTTGAATTAGTTTCTTTTCCACAAATTTATGTCTCGTTCAATTAGGTTTCTGTTATTTTTTTACTATTTGAACTTTGAACCATTTAACTGTTATTCAGATATATATTGTTTAAGAAATGTAAAGACTTTAATTATTCATTCTTCTCAATGTATAATATGGTTCTTTCTAATTTATTATCTGATTATTATCTAATTATTTTTTAATTTTTTATATATTACTTAATTACTGATAATTTTTATAATTCAATTTATTTGATTTATAAGTTTTATCACTGGAATTTTTTGTAATCACATGATTAGTTATGACTAATGGGGTAAAGTACTTCCTAATTCATCTACCTTTACATATTCTATCGAAACGTTTAGATGAATAAATAATAAAAAGTATAAGGTGAGTATAAGTTAAAAAATATACTTTGTGGCTATAGGACAAATATAGATAAAATATATATTGCATTGTATCCGTTCTATTTTTATCTTGCTTTATTTATAAATTTTACAGTTATATTTAATATATCATATTAAAAGATACAAATAGTTAAATTTAATAAAATTATATTAATAACAACATATTATATAAACATTAATTTATATATTTTTATTAATTATTAATATGAATGTTGGTTAGATTATATAAAAATAATTGTTTTAAACTATTTTTTAAATAAAATAAATAAAATATACGAATTAGATAACAAATATAAATAATTATCTAGTGAACGAATAATTAGATTCAAACCCATTTTAGGTATAAATATATATCTATATATTTTCTTTATAAGTAAGTATAAAAATGTGCATAATTATTTTAAAATTCCTTATGTGATTATCATTATATATAATTTACTTTCTTTTATCATTCTATAATTATACGAATTAAGTATTCTGATAAGTTGCATTTAAAAGAAATTCATATAAAGAGGAGTTCTGATGAAGATAAAAGCACAATAAAAGTTCATTTGGTGTTTTGTATAAATCTAAAAATTTAAATATTTACGTTGCATTAGGTTCATGTGTATTTTATTTTATTTAGTTTCTAAATTTTTATTATTTTATAAAATGAAAACGGAGCGTTTTGAGGTGTATATCGATCGCAACCCGACCCGGTGTTAAGTGGCGCAAATGGAAACTGGACCCAGCAAAAGAAATGAATTAGTTCACTAATGGCTATATCCAATTCTTCGCCGTTTGCCCGTTTCCCGTGCAGGCAGCCACAGCGTCGAAGCTGTAGCAGAGAAAATCCCTTAACTAAATTCTAAGCCTTAAGCAACTTTGCTTCTGTTTCCCTATTTGAGATTAGGGTTTTGGCTTCCCATTGTTCTCCCGCAGTACCAGAATTCCAAAGTATATATAGATTCATTTCCTTTGCTGAGTCTTAGGGTTAGGGTTTAACGGTTTTTGATAAAAGAATAAAAGATGTATGCTGATCGAGTGGAGGCTACGAATAGAAGGTCGATAAAGGAGCGCCTCAATGGCAATACCGTCGACGACTCTACTCGCAGACGACAAGTCGCCGGCAAGAGGTTTGCTGTATTTAATTCTTTTGTTTTCTGTTTGTTTCTTTTTTCTGTTCCTTTCTTCTTCTTTGTTTCTATCGAAATTGGGAATGCTTTCATTCGTGCTTTTTAGTGCTTGGTTTATTTTGCAACTCAGTGTGTTTTTTATTGCGTTGGTTTCACTATTAGAATATGCCGTAGCCATGCCAAGTTTAATGGTAATATTTTCTATCTACGACTGGTTTAGAAGTTAGTTCATGGAATTAACATAGTGTTCGCCAGTAGAGTGGGGTCCTTTTTTCCCCTGGTACCTAAAGATTGCTTTACCTTGGTTTTATGTTGTTTCTGCATCAAGTCCAATTTTGGTTTTCGATGGTTATCAGAATACTATTAATAATCAATGCTTCATGGAAACAAAATGTTGGCTAAGTGTCTGGATGATATATAAGATGGAACAACATTTTATATTGTTTGTGAAGTTCTCAGCTCATTTGTTGATACTGGTCAACAATGAGATTGGCTGATAATGTGGGCACTTTTGGTATAGGATTTTCGAAGAGAGAATTCTGAAATCATAAGAATAGGGCAAAAATCCTATTCGTACATTTGATAAGGATTCCCAAACTCTCTTTTCTTCTTGTTCCCCAACTCCATCGGGCTCCATCTCTTTATTACTTCTATTGACTGTGTGCTCTTGAGGACTTTGATTTTGCATCTCTTTTGGAGTCGTGGGTTTCAAATTTACATTTTTATACCAAACTTAAGATAGATTAGTGTTGGTACTCTTGTCATGTTGATATGCAGATCATATAGAAGATTATATGCAAACATTCCAGGAATGTTATATAAGATCCAATCATTTTAGGCACCATACAAGAGAAACAAGAAAAATACTTATATTGTTCATACAAGCTAGTTCATATAGGTGTGGATGTGGTTGCATTCAAACTGAGTCATTGAATTTGTAGAGATTTAAACACGGTTCTCGTGCCAATCCTCATGAAGGACATGCTATTTACTTTTATTTCCATACCAGACCAGGGTTTGAAAAGTTGAATGATTTTCTAACTTCCTCCACTTTAGATGCTCAATTGTACTTAACTATAACCAAGAAAGAATTATCAACTCTACTGTCTTGTGAATGGTGGTTCATTCTCTTCCACAACATTCCACATTCAATTTTTTTTTTTTCATAAGAGAAGAATAGAGGGTGAACTTGATGGAATTGACAGTAAAAGTAAAAGATTGTCAGAATTACTGGAAAACCAATATAAATCATTGAAAAACTGGCCTGCAGGAAGCTAAGTTGTTCTCGTAAACTTAGTATGAGGACACGTGGATGCAAAGTACATTTCACAATTCCCACTAACTGCCATGGGCACATGGATTCCACGAGCCAGTTGTTTTCCATGGAAAATGCATGGGTTTTGTTGATCAACTTGTCTAGAGATGGTGGTTATAAATTGGGGGTTGGTACAAGGTTTGTTTGTGCTGGGATGAATGACAATGGTGATCTGGTGAGGCAGCAGCAGCTTGGCCTCGTTTTGGCTAGTGGTGCATTTTTCCAATGACTTTCCTTGTGTATATTCAGGCATGGGTGATCTGGGTTTGACAGCTGTGTTTATGTTTAGGGTATTTGTTCTTTTTTTTTTTTTTAAGATAGCTGAGTACTGTTGTAATGTAGAATTTTTGAAACTTCATATGTAGGGATGTTTAGTGATTTGGGACGCTATCCAAATATCACTACTAAGGTTCTTATCTAAGAATTTTTTAGTAATACAATTAAGGGTTTGATTAAATTATACTACCAGAAAGATTGAGAAAATTCTTAAAAAACTGTTGAAAAATTGGATCGATCTCAAAAGTGAATTAACATAGGTATTTATAGTAATTGCTAGATAACCTTTTTGAACAGGATTGCACTAATAAATACTAACACTAATATCGTTAGGAAATACTACTACTAAAGAAGCCATAAATAAAATCCTAATAATTAAATTCCTGAATAAAGTTGAACCCCGATACTAATTTGCATGTGTAGCACTTTGGGGATTCACTCTGCTTTTTAAAACAGGATAGAAAGAAATTTGTAACTCTCTTTGCTAAGTTTATCTTCTCGCCTTAAATCCTATATAAACCAAATGATGCTTGCATTCACCACAAAATGGTGGGACATATTTTGCTAACAGTGCAATATAGAGCATTAATAGTGGAAAGAAATAAATGTACTCCTCTTTGGTTAAAGAGCTAACATATTAAGGTTTTTGATGCCGTTTTGTTCCTCTGCCAAGGGTATATATACATTAGCAAGGAGAATAATATCATATATTCTGGTTCCTTCAAAAAAAAAATTCATATGTTCTAGTTATTTTATAGGGCAAATTACAGATTCATCCTCTTAGTTTGCCTTGATGCAATTCAAACACTGTGGTTTCTTTTGGGAACATTTTCGTATTGTGTGTTCTGTTTTGCTTTTTTTTTTTCCTTTTCATTTTATATAAATTCACTAGTTTTTAAGCTATTATCTTGTAATTTCCTCCCCCCCCCCCCAAATTTTTCATTTGTTTACCCCTAAACTTTCATGTGTTCTTTTGCAGAAGCCCAGATCCTTGGGTATGTCCTCTAAAAAATTGACAAATTTTTGTAAAATAATGGAAAAACAAAACAATGATGTTTGAACTCTAATTAGGCCAAACCGCATGGTGAAAGTGTATTTTGCACCATTTTATTCATGCCCAGCGTTTTAATATTATAATATATTGTACCGTATTCATATTGACAACCTTGTCATGTATCCTATTTGGTTTATTTCTTTCCTTTTGGTTCAGGGCTTGCAATCTATTTTCACTGTAACGTTTTGCAAGTTAATATCTGTGGTTTTCAGGCAGAGGCAAGAGGACAAGTGGGAGCATGATCTTTATGAGGATGATGAACGTCAAATTCCAAGTATGGACTGACTGTGAGACAATCACATACAACTAATAGTTGCTGCTACTGTTGGATGCAACTAAACCATCTCTATTTTCTTTTGACTGTGTTTAAATGGCTTGTGAAGATCGCAAGTTTGATGCTCGAGATCTTCGTTTGAAGCTCCAAAAGAAAAGTCAGCAAGTTTCTCAAAGTGGGAATGGCTCTTCTTCAGGCATAAGAGATCTCCGCGAAAAGCTATCTGGGACCATGAATCCACAACCAGCGAATATTGATCCACCAAAACCAAAATCGGAGGCTGTCAAGCTAGTCAGCGCAAATGTAGCTGTTGAAGCCTCTGAACCAGAGAGTAGAAAAGCTTCCAACTCAGCTCTAAGGAAAAAGTCTCAGCAGAAGGCACAGAATTTTTACTTGTTTTTATTTTTTTTTAGGCCCATATTATTTGGACTACACTAGCTTTTTGTTCAAGATAGTTTGATTCTTTTTTTGGGGGGGGGGCAGAGGGATGGGAGGACTTCAGGACAATTGCCTTTCTATGCACGGAAATTTAAGAGAGAATGATGGGAAACGCATCGCTTTTTTTGGGGAGTTAGAGAAAAGGAAACAAATTGTTGTTTTAGGCTCAAAAATACCTAGGGCTGGGGAACAATCCCAAAGTTCAAGAAACCAGCTTATCAAAATCCGTTAGGCTACTGATATAGGATTAATATGGTTGATTTCTCCACTTAGGGGTTTGGAGATAAAAGTCTAAACACCACATCTAAATTTCTTAGAGATCACATCTGAAAAGTTTTAAGCATCACAATTATTTTTTATTTTGCAGAATATTTCAAAAAGAAATTGTTTATTTTGCAATAGTTTGTAGCGGGATACTCCTGATTCTTTGATTATTTATCCATCGAGCATTAAACTTGGTTACATTTGCAGTGATTTATTTTCTTTTTTAAAAAAGAATGTACATATCCTGCTACCTTTGTGCTTAAATTCACAACAGTTGCTTCCTTTCTTTGATTAAAGTTCTTACTCTCTCACTTTTAGTGCAGGCAGTTTCATCTGTGGATAATTTCCTGCTGTCTTTGGGTCTAGAAAAATATTTGATTACTTTTCAAGTGGAAGAAGTATGTGTATTCCTAATTCATTGCGTGCTGTGTAACTTTTTTTTTCTAATCATTATCATGTATTTGTTTCTTTCAATCTGAGCATGCACCTATTGATTATTATGCAGGTTGACATGACAGCTCTCGTGCACATGACCGATGAGGATCTCAAGGCCTTAGGAATACCAATGGTAACTTTGAGATGGACTCAACCATGACATGCTTAGCTTTATATTACCACATCCGGCACTTCCTTTGGCTGATGCCAGCATAATACTCTTATTTTAGATGATAATGGATTCTGTCACTGCATATTTCATTTGGTTAAAATGATAATATACATAATTAGTTAGCACACTTTGATCACCATCCTTCAAAACATTTTGAAGGGGTCTATGCCATATGTTTACTAATGGGCTTCTCCCTGTTGAAAACTCTGGCTAGGACGCTGTCCAGGTGGGTTTATGTCCTTTTTGTCCTTGCCTTCTATCTCAAAAGCCCTGACCATGCAGTTTGGCATTGTTTTGGGGGTGACTGGATTAACACGTAGTTCTACTGTCTCCCATAGTCCTATGTCACGAGTTCGTTTTAAGTAACTAGCTATTTCTCAAACTTGGCCAGGTTGGTCTAATTATTCTCAGGGCTATAAAGAGACTTAAATATATTTCAAAAAACAAAACAACAGAGAGACTTAAATAGGTTGGTCTAGTTTTTCTCATTGCTAGGAGAGAGACCTGAATAGGTTGATCTAGTTTTTCTTGTGGGTAACAGAGACCTAAAAATTTTGGATGTCCTTAGGCTTGTCATATTTATATAGTGCTTAGAGATTCAACTCTTTTATGATCCTTAACGAGCTTAGGTGCTGAGCTATCTTTAAATTCGATTTCTGATTGTTCTGGAGGATTCAATATAGCAAATATTGTTTAAAAATAAGAAGATTTTCACTTTTTTGTTTGTTTTCCTAAGATTTGATGGATCTTTTGTGTAAATTTTGTGTGGATTCAGGGTCCAAGAAAGAAGATATTGCTTGCATTAGAATCTAGAGGCTGATATTTGGACAGGAGGTTTGGTTCTTTCGGCTGTTCCGCTTCGACCTCGACATGTATTACTGGGTGGCCTCCAAAATTAGCAGGCCTGCGTTTTGACTGAAACATGCCTGCTTGTAACCTCTTCTTCTCCCAGTTGTATTGCTAAAAAGTGGGTTTAACAGGCTTTTCTATTGATATTAGACTGATTTGAAATTGCTAGTAACTTACTGCTTTGTGAACTCGTAAGAAATTCCATGAGAATTTTTAGTGGAATTATTGTAATTTTGAAGATAGCTGGCGTTGTTTTATCATTTTAACAAATTTGTGATATCGAGTCAGTTATAGTAGGCCGTCGGAAGTAAACACTTGTCAATGAAGTCAGCCTGAAATTTTGAAGCTCGAAAGCCAAAACAATACCGGCAACAAATAATTTATAATATTTGCAGTATCTAGCATCTTTAAAATTGTTTTGAGTCCATTTATGATCAATCTTTATTATTTTAACCAAAAGTTTTGGCCAGCTTGGGGTTTTAATTTATGCAAGTAAAATCTTACTGAGATATATCAACATGTATGGGAAATGTAGATTTAAGAGTTTAGATTGAAAAATCGGATTGGCCGCCCTGTGAATTAGATTCAGATCGAATTGGAGTGGATAGTTCACGGTGTAGATCTTTGGTTTATACAAGTTTGTGATCTTTAATAATTTATTCAATTAGATGTCTAAAGTTTTACCTTTGGTTAATTAAGTGATTAAATTTTATAATAAGATCTATTACTATCAAACAAGATATAATAATAATGTTACATAAATTATGAGCCAAATGCTATACTATAGTTGCAATTCATTCTAGTTCATATATCAAACCTGGCATTACTACTTATATCTTAACATACATACATACGCGAATAAAATATTTACATTTGTATTAGTTCGCTTTCCATTATTTATAGAAAAGACAACCACCTGAACACGCCACACACACACACACACACACACACACATATATAAATATATATATGCAAACTGCTACAATAGGCTTTCTCACTTCTCTGTGCTTTTAATTTCGAACCATATCCAGAACAATTATATATTTCACATTCCAGAAAGAATTCAACTGATAGTCCCAGTAATATTAGAAACAGTTAATAGATATTTAAAAAAAAAAAAAAATCACATATTCAGTAACCTCTCCTCAAAATGACATCCTAATATAAGAGTAGATAGACTTAGAATGCTATCCATCTGAAAAAGGGATTCAAGAATTCTATAAAATTATATTTAAAAATAAACACATACATAAGCATGTTTCTCATATCAGCATATTGCTGAATATGCCAGCTTACTTTTCCATCTGTTGCAACATTTTTTTTATCCAAACCCTTCTGGGTGCTGCTTGATGTAAATTCAGAAATGCCACACGAGGAAAAAGTTAAGCTTTCTTCACCTTAGCCTTCCATGCCAAGTACTTTGTATTTTCTTGCCTGTATCTTTTCCATTCTCTTAATGCTGCAAGGACTACGTGCATTGCCACAGGAAGAAAGAATGGCTGAACAATGAAAGACAACATTAGAACACTCCGAAACAGTTCAATTCAAGCTTGATAACATGCAAGTTCGGCAAGCGTAGATGGCATCCTAACGTAGAATGTACTTAGAAATATCTCAAGAATTACATTTATCTAAAAGCACATAATATAATGCTGTATAGTAATTGCTGACAAGATACTTATTCAATGAATATTTTATTTCGAAGTCCAAACTGGATTGAAAGAACAATAACTAGATTGCCTTTGCTGTCTATGCAAAATACAAATTCTTGTAAACTAAAAAAGAGAGGACAAACCGAGTAAACAGCAAAACAATGCTCAAATGAGTAGTAGCTGACAGACATAATAGACGGGTGAAAAAAGGCATCCTCTGCCAGAGATCTTGCTTCCCTTGAGGACACTGGTAAGGGACATAAACTTTTCATTAGAATCTTCTTGAGGATCAGGATATGGAGCTCCAAATATCAACATAGCTACAAGTAAAGGCTTGAGCAACATACCAGCAGAAGATTCATAAACTCCAAGAGAAGTGTTACTTTGAGCCTGTTTTGCTGCCTCAAGAGAGAACTTCACCTGGTCAAGCATACCAGAAAATATCATGTCCTTCAAAATCCAACAAAAGCTAGACAAAAGATTTAAATGGTGTTCATACTGCAAAGGCAGGACAGTGTAATAATTGGTAAAACCTCATAGCATTGTGCCAGTAAATTTGACATATCCACTCCCTTCTTTTAAGTGCAAATTACAATTTTCTTCTAAAGCTTTACTTTAGGTTTATTCGCATTAGGAAAATAGCAAATTCAACAACTGCAGATGCAACAATCTCGTCCATCCAAACTCTTATGTCATGGGTGACTAATAGTTAAGTGACTTCCACCACATCCTGGTTTTGGTTCAGAGGGAATACCTCCTAATCCCTTAGATAAAGGTCCAAGGTTCAAGGACAGGGTATGACCTGCTTTACAAATTAAAAATTTTTTCAAGAATACTTATCAACAGATAAAAAAAAATTGACCTGTTTCCCGATTTCATCCATAATAATCATCCTTGGTAGTGATTGCACCTAGATGGAGAACATTGTCAGAGAAGTAAGAAAGAAATTCTGAATGAATAAGTACATCAGTTTCATTTCCACCTACTACATTAAAAAAAAAAGAATTAGCACATCAGTTTATTAAGCCTGAAGATACCAATCTAGAAAGAGAGTCGAGTGTTGTAGCACATGAATGAAGATTAAAACATGTATGTTGCCGCAGCAAGAAATCCATTTCCCTGTAACAGAAGTTTCGGTTAGTAAAATATTCTTCAACAATGCATGGCTGAATGATAATTCAAAAGAACTGACTTAGGCTATGTCTGAAACATAGCCATAAATTTAATGGAATCATTGCAAATTCACACTTAATTCAACTAAGAGATATCTGAAACAATGTATTTTAAATTCCATACAAGGTCAATTTTTATCATTTTAAAAAATATTTTCAGCATATTCTAGTTGAACTAAGTATAGATTTGCAAATGACTTTCACTGAATATTTCACTTGCTCCAAAAATAGCCTTAAAAACCAATTACGAAGAATGCAGTTTACTTAATAAATTTGATGGACTATAAAAGCATTTCATAGATAAACATCCATCGAAAAACCATGTGCCCAGTGAAAATATTCTAGCTATATTCCAAAACAATCTTGGGACAGTCTAGGAAAAGAAAGGGAAAGGGTGATATTTTAATATGCCATAACTATTCAAAACCCAAGCTGTTGACTTCTTCATAAAATGAACATATTAATATTACCATTCTGTGAAGCCCCGTTCACTGTATAAGAGGTTGATTGTCCCTGATACACCATGATAACTGCTATCTGATTTAAGGCCAAAAAGTTGCCGGACCTGTCCCACGAAAACTTCAAAAACTTGTTCAAGATCCTGTTTCAAAATTTATAGGCGTCAATGATATAGGACCAATGAATCAAGCCATCTGATGTGCACTCCTAAAGTTATTTCATACTGAGAAACAGCTAAGCAAAAGAGTGAGAATTTTTTTTGACATTGTTGTAGTTACCACTTTTCAAGCAAAAAGAGAAGAAATACTTTGCCTATAAAATAAGAGACAGCAATTTATGAGGATTTCTATCAATGATTCCAATAAATAACAACTAGTAGACTAGCAGTGGGAAACTTTGAAAAAGCAAATAGGGATAACTAAATGAAAATTTAAGACAAAATCCTTCTTTAGCATATAGAAGAACTCATTCTTGGCCTTTATATTTCGATCAATCTTGCCACTTTTCTAAGGCATAATCCATATATCAACATAACTACATAACAAAGCTGAAAATCTGGATACAATTGATGAAGAAGGAGAAGATCCTGAACTGAACATATTTCAATACTAAGAAATATTTATGTAATTGTAATGTTTATCTACTATTAAGGTATTTAGTTCATTTAAGACCTAGTACCTACACACTTAGTAATGGTATGAGTTTATTAGTTTCCTTATTTACTTAGGATCCTATTAGTTATTCTCTATTATAGGTTATTGAATTAATTATCTTATTCTCATATTTACTAGAATTCTTAGATGGACTTGAGAATTCATATTTTGATTGTATATTGGTACCTATAAGTAGAGGATCCTAGTCTAATTATTTCGGTAGATTATTTCCATGATTATTATATAAATAGTAAGTTATTGATTTGATGATTGAGATCCGAGAATTCTGAATTTGATTGTTTGGTTCTTAATAAATGTTCTCAAAGTATTGTGCTCCAAATAATAATCTGACCTGAGAAGGGATAGTGTGCCTGGTGGGATGATTACTTTCAGAACCCTTCAAACAGTTCGTAGGATTCCAAACAATTATTCCTCCCCACATCTATAATTTGCCATGAGAAATTTTTTTCGTCAGGAAATTTCAGAAGAATATCAATTGACAAAGTAATGTTGTTAACAAACCGGGGATATAAATCCATTTGTTTTTGAAATCTCCCCATCTGGAAGCTGCAGAAGCAGAGGGCACTCCTTAGCAGATGGTATATATCTGTCAACACACAGGAAAAAAGTGTCTAGGTAAGATTCGAATGTATACTCTTTAACCTACAGGCATTTAGTTTCAAGCATGTGTTTTGGCCAGAAATAGAACTCAGATAAAAGAAAATATAGGAGGATGAGAGTAAACCATCATTATGGATCTCAACTTCAACTCATAGTTGGTGAATGCTATTATCTATATAAAACTTTTACGTCTCCAACCAAGATTCACAATTCATCTCAATGCATTCAGCAAAAGTTGGAACAGAAATCTCTTTTATTAGGTGAAAACTGGATATTTTTTATTTTCATTCTAGATTTCACGCCATCCACATCAAAAAATAAGTCAAATGAATGCAGAATTTGCCTGTACATATATGCATGACATCAACTATACACACATCGTTAGGGTCTAGGGAGCAAAAAAACAGATAATTTATAGAAGTAACATAATCGCTTTGATATGAATAGACTAAACAAGGATTGAGCAAAAGTATATACACCACAAATTGCAATATCTTTGACCGTCCACCTGCTGCAATAGAAGTATCCAAGTGCCATTCATTTGAATTCACCTATTAAAATTATTTGATAACAATAATGAAGTAAGCAATTAAATCAAGTAAACAATTTAAACGCCAAGTAATCAATGTAAAATAGGTAAAATAACAAAAGTTCTAGAACAGATAACTGACCGTATGTACATACATAATGTTTTAAAGCAATTAGGCAAAATTTGTTCCATTATTAAAAAGGACCTGATATTAGCATTCATCTAAATATCTAGTTATCATCAAAACATAAATTTCGAAATAAACATACAAAGAAAGGAAGATCCTTGGTGCTAAAGACATAGCTCTGCAACTTTTCATCCCAAGAAGCAAATGAGGCCTTTGGTGTATGATATAAAACCTATCCATAAGAGAGAACAATAAGAAAATGAAAGGAAAAGGACAAGAACAAGAAAAACAACTTAAAACCTATACTTGGGCTGTAGTACCGAAAAATGGATGTGTTTAGAATATAGTCTAAGGAACAAAGATTTGATACCTGACTTTCGACACTTATATTTGCTATAGGTCCCAAAGCCTCAATAACAGGAGCTAAAGTCTCATCTATCTTGTGAAAATCCCTGGAAAGATATCATCCAAGAAAAGTGGCATACATTACGAGACAAGTTTAATATTTTTCCAAAAGATGTCCTAGCATAATCTGGAGTCATGGAAGCCACACCGGAAACTTAAATCCAGTGAAGAAACTAGACTTAAAAGGTAGCTATTTTTCTTCAGACAAATTAATGCTTTATACAGGTAAAGTTAAACTCTTACATCCATCGTACATGCATATCTACCTAGGCAGTAGGATATTCATCCTTCTGTTTTACACATTATAAATAAAAACCATTATATGGTCAGACGGAAATACATTCTTCTATGCCGATGCAATTTACCAATTTGATTTCATCAACAATGTGATTCCCCAGACACTACCATGATTTTTCTGAAACGAAGCTAAAAACAGATGAGAGAGCATAATGAGCAAACTTTCAAGTAGCTAAAAAGGAAAATCTTTCACCACAACTAGTGTTCAATCTGATGGAAAAAATTCTTTGACAGTAAGTAGCAACAGAAATCGCTGCTAAAACAAGCCTGAACATTTAAAACCCAAAATGAAGAAAAACAACTTGAAGATGGTTGTTAGACCAATCAAACTAAATCATACCAATGAGACTAAGAAAACAAGCTAAAACCTAGAATACTGAGCGTCAAACGCTGGATAACCAAAACGAGCAACAAGAAGTCTCATACCAGTCATATACCCAATCACGGGGATCTGCATTGAGCAAATTAAATGAAAGAACAATGCTCCCGTCGGCCCCAACAGGCATAAACTCTCCATGAATCATTCCTTCTTCTCTCCCACCATTCACAAAGAACCTGGTGAAAATCTCTGCGACCCATGCCGCCACTGCTTCCTTTCTCTCCTCCAAGCCCTTACCCACAACCCACGCGTGCCTGTGCTTTCCAACTACAGCCCTCACTTCCTCCAGAGCATGGCCATTCAATACCACAACACTGTGCACCTTTCCGCCAACATTCGAACAACCAGCTAGCACACTCCTGAGCATTGCATCAATTGCCTCATCATCGTCACTCTCAAAATCAATCACCTTTATTGACCCACATCGGTAGGAGCACGAAAGGGATAAATGGTTAAGGTTCTGCACACAGTGGGAATGGGATTCTTGTACGGTGACTGATAGAGAGAAGTTGTTGCTGCTGCCGCAAGAGCCGCATTGTGGGGTTTGGGGAATTAACTTAGTAATTTCATTAAGGATGGTGGACCGTAAACGATCTGGGTCGATCGAATCAAACCCAACAAAAATAGCATGGAAGTTGCAAGGGAACTTCACACTCTTCTTCTCAATTTGAGCTGAAAGCGAATCGATGTCGTGAAACGGCAGCGGAGAGCGGTAAATTTCCACGGATTTCCATAAGAATGGCAAACCTGAAAATGATTTGAGAGAGAGAAAAGAAACACTGAAAAACCTGAACCAACTGAAAAGTAAAAAAATGTATAGTTGGGTGTACGTGCGTACCTAGGAGGAAGGAGAAGAGGACAGAGAAGGTAAGGATAAGACGCTTGACGCCGGGTTTGGTGGTGCGCATGGTCTTGGGGTCCAAGTCCAATACATGTTCTTGTGGTTTTTCAGATGATTCCGACATACCGTGGGCGGAACTCGGAGGTTCCAAGATTTCAGCCATCGTTGAGTATGCAGCAGTCCAGTTTCCTCCCCTACGGGGATTTGGTGTAAAGCTTGGGGTAGACAACTATGGGCTTTATAACTTTGCATTGTCGACAAGTAACAGCCAGCCGTCTTAGCTCAGCTGGTAGAGCGCATGGCTTTTAACCATGTGGTCGTGGGTTCGATTCCCACAGACGGCGAAAGGTTAAATTTTTTTTCCATAACAGCTAAAAAATACTCTGTTTACATTTCTTTGTTCTCACCACTTGAGGTCGTAATGTCAAATTCTCAAAGTAAAAAGAGTCTCTCTACTCTTTTCCCCTTTTCTTTGTTTCTTGTTCCGTAGAGCAAAAAAGATAAATTAACAAACAGATTTATTAATTATTAAAAAAAAAATTTGAAACTTGAGAAATCTTCTTTTCTCATTTCTATAGCTAATCACCAAACCTTTCTCTACTGTCCTATATATTTTTTGATGTGTTTCAGAATATATTGTTGAAATTAGTGTTAGCTCAGAAATAATATGTATGGTTTTCAAAATTATAATATATGATACATATTTTAATAACTGTAAACACAAATAGATTATAATGTACTACTTGCAAATGTATAAGGTTTATGTTTCTTAGATGTTATAAATTCTATTTTCCGCTAAAGTCAGACGTAATGTTACTTTGTTTTTACCTCAAAGATAGCAACAAGCCGTCTTAGCTCAGCTGGTAGAGCGCATGGCTTTTAACCATGTGGTCGTGGGTTCGATTCCCACAGACGGCGTTTTTTCCCATTTTCTATCTTCGTCATTGTTATGTTTTTTCCTGCACTTCCCTTACCTATTTCTCTGTGTTTACTTCCTACTAAGTGGAGCTTTTGAAACATGCATTCATGTATATCATACACTTTCATGTATCATATTCCATTAATTCATTTTTTTTTTCCTCTTCAAAATTAGTAAAAACTAGTTTAGTTTTGGTTCTACATACTGATCCACATGGAACAAACCATTTTCGTGCTTGATACAATACCATTGTTCTCTAGGCAATGAAATGCTTAGTTCTGACTTAGGATTTCTCTTCCAACCCCAAAATCAATCTGATGGCCGAGTAGAAACTGTTGCTTTCTTCAATTGTTCTGCAATTCTCTTTGCTTCACCTTCACCTTCACCTTCACCTTCTGCCTTCACATCCCTACGAGCTTGCTTCCCACCAAATTTCTCCCTAAACAAAATTACAACTTCATTTCTCTGCAAATTACCAAGAAAATACACTTGAAATCACAACATAACAAAACATAAAAATGAACAGATTCGATAAGAGTAAAAAGTAACTTAAAGCACCAGTTCTGCAAACAATGGGCTTGGCATTCCAATTCTATGACCAGCAGGTAGAAGCTCCCATGGTCTCTTTGCCCTTTCCAGGTCTCCACTTTCGTCAGAAAGTGAAAATTCTGCTTCGGGTAAATTGAGCTGGTTTAGAACCTGGAGAGTGTCATGAAGACCAAAAGCAGTAAATTTGGTTTGTGTTTTTTTCTAAATTTAAAGTTGGTTAATTTCTTTGTTTTTGCATACCTTTGTAGTAAATGACGGCATAAAAGGCTGTAATATCCATGCCAGAAGATAAACTAGCCCTACAGAGGTTTTCGTGACAATAGAACAGGAAGCTTGATCTTTCTTGTAAAGATCCCAGAATTGGCTCATCTGGGTTTGTATAAACATTAGATAGACAAAGAATGACCACATGGAATGAGAATAAAGTTAAGCTTAACTTGGCGGCTTACTTGCAGATACGCATTTCCTTCTCCGGATATGCTCATTCCGATCTTCAATCCCTGTTTTAGCTTAACCTACACATGTCAAGGTTATTGTAAGAGGATGGCTCGAGAACAATTTACAGGACTGAATGCAAGAGTTGCAATCAAGAAAATAAGAATCTTTTTTTACTACTTTTTCCATTGCTTGTACATATTGCTCCACATAGTTTCCAACTTTTTCTGCCAATTTCTTTGTTAAGGGATCTGATTCTGCTCCTGGGGCATCAGGAATTGTCGATCCATATCCTCGTCCTGAAAAGGGAAATAGACTTGGAATCAAAAAGCTCTAGTACCATATTAAATAACAAATTTACAGAGCAACATAATAAAAGAAGATCTATGAACACGTCTCAAGGGAAAGGCTAATGGCTTATGCATATTGCAACTAACCTAGAGGTTTGGCAATGAAGCTCAAGACTCGGTTTATAAAATTTCCCAGGTTGTTTAACAGTTCAGTGTTCAGTTTTGCTTGGAAGTCCTCCCATGTAAACAAGGTATCTGATATCTGAGACAAAGAATTGATCCACAAGAATCAGTCAGCCGATCATATCTTAGTAGATAACCAGATTTGCAGCAAGGAGAACTCGCCTCTGGCCGGTTAATTAGCAGATAATACCGCCACACTTCCGAAGGAATATTTGTATCTTTCACATCTGTGCCAAAAATTCCTACCCCCTTGCTCTTAGAGAACTTTCCTGGACATCAAGCAATGTAAAATTCAATCTGTCAAAAGCAAATGCAGAAGACTTATTAGTGTCTGTTTGGTAGCAGAGATACCCGATTCATAGTTTAAGTACTCTGTGACACTAATGCTCTTCATCAGTGTCCATTTTTCTCCTGTTCCAATAAGTGTTGATGGAAACATCACCTGAAACCAGATAATTATCAAAGAAATCTTGAAGTGTTTTCTATCCTAATTCACGGAAGTTTAAAACATTATGAAAAGAACTCTTACAGTATGGAAAGGCACATTGTCTTTGCCCATAAACTGATAGAGTTCTACATTTTCAGGGTTCTTCCACCACTGTTCCCAATCAGCAGTATGGCATGAAGTGATAGAGATGTAACCAATTGGTGCATCAAACCATACATAGAAAACCTGAAGTTGAAGTTAACAGCACAAAAAACTTAGGAAACATTAAAATGAGAAATTAAACTAAATATACTGGGATAAAACCTAATGTAAACCAACCTTATCCTTGAACTTTTCATGAGGAACAGGAACACCCCACTTAAGATCCCTGGTAATGCAGCGAGGTTTAAGACCTTCTTTAAGCCAGGCATATGTAGCTTGAACAGCATTTTCACTCCAACATCCAGTTACTGATGTTTCAGTGATGTACTCTTCTAACTTGTCCTTCAACAATGGAAGCTCTAGAAACAAGTGGTTTGTGTAGCGGATTATTGGGGTCGCCTGACAAAACTGTACACAAGATTAAACACGAAAAAACACTTGGAAACTAAACATTTTCAAAGAACATATATATAGGTATACCTTGCATTTGGGATCTATAACTTCTGTTGGATTCAATAACTTCCCACATTTTTCACATTGATCCCCTCTTGCTGATTCATAATTACAACCTAGAGTTGGACAAGTGCCTTCCACGAGACGATCAGCCAAAAATCGTTGGCAGTTTTCGCAATACAGCTGCATTAATGTTGAGATCCAAGTTCATGAAAACAAACTGGAAATAATGAACATGTGTCACAAGTAGCAAATATAAGAAAATAGAGTCTGCAGCAATGGAGAAATACCTGTTGCATTGGGTTCTCAGAGAGCCAATTGTTGTGCACCAATTTCTTGAAAATTGCCTGGCAAACTTGGGTTTGCAGAGGAGTTGACGTGCGGCCAAACTCATCAAATTTTATGTCAAACCACTTGTACACCTCCTTATGAATTGCATGGTACCTAAACAAATCAAAATTTATTCATTACCAAAAGCGAACAAAACTAAAGGTAAGTAGTCCTATATCAGATTGCATGGTACCTAAACAATCAAAATTTATTCATTACCAAAGCGAACAAAACTAAAGGTAAGTAGTCCTATATCATACTCATCAGTTCACATATGTATAT